GGACAGCATAAATATTCAAGTTTAGAAGTTAATCATTTTTATATGTATTTATCCTTAGTGAAAGATGTGAACTTAAAGAGCCAGCTGTCTGCATACTCCGTGGAAATGAGTTTGTTTTGTCAATCATTTGGATTTTTTGTTTGCAAACGATGGAAAGAGCTGGTCTTAAGCAAATGGGGTTTGTTTGAAAGAAGAGCAGGATGGCCCAGCCTCAGAGTCGCCCCAGACAAAGGCAGCTCTGAGGTCAACAGTTGGAACTGGAGGCCCTTCTCTTTAGGATGTGCCCTTAGATGACTGGCGTCTCTAACGCCTAAGTGCCTTCTTCTCTATTCAAAATTCAGTGCCCAAGAGAGCTGAGCTGGATTGGCCTGGGCTGGGGTCAGGTTTCCCTGCTGGATCTTATGGCTCGGCCAGAGGGGTGATTTGCAAAGAGTAAGGGTGGGAAGAAGGGGGACTGAACCTGAGAGCCATTGAGGCCCTTCTTTAACAGTTAACTGAACATTTTCTGTTGTTTTTAAAATTTGGTTAAATAATGGAAAACACAGCTTTGATTAAGAAGTGTTTGTTAAATGCTACATGAGGGACTGCGGTTCTTAGTGCTTTGGGAATTTAGCAAAGCAGCAAGAGATAGTTACAGGTAACTATTAATATGAATATATGATGAATACTCTATGCGGGGGGGGTTGATTCACCAAGTTTGGCCTGGGGAAATTTTGGAATGCGTAAGGATTAGTGTATCTCTGTTAAAAACAGAACAAAAAATACTGATCTCCTATCACTTATATAGTACTGTGTGGCCTCCCAGTGCTAACTAAGGAGAATTGTTAGACATGATTAAATGAACATATCCTTGCTACGTGTGCCGGTGCACACTACATAGAGTTGCCCGTGTGAGAAGCAGTTCCATCACAAATGTGGGAATGTACATGCAGTTCAGAGCACCTGCCCTTGTAATTCTTGGTGGGCTTGCTACCTGCTAATATATGTAGATTCCCTGGTCAGGAAGCTCCTGTGAGCAGCTCACACTCAGCTCCTATGCAGATACCCTTGTCAGGAACTCCTGTGAGCATCTCACACTCAGCTCCTGTGTAGAGATTCCCTTGTCAGGAGCTCCCGTGAGCAGCTCACACTCAGCTCCTATGCAGATACCTTGTCAGGAGCTCCTGTGAGCAGCTCACACTCAGCTCCGCTGAGCACCCTTTCTGCACAGCCTGTGCCTCATGGTTAGAAGCTACCACACCCACCGTCCCCATAGGGCTCTGTGACCACGTAGACTTATCTGACAGCCTGACACTTTCTCCCCTAGCGCCTTACTAGGATAATCTAGGGTAAATGTAACCATATTTTCATACTTAAGCAGAATTTAAATGAGATTAAGACTCTATAGTTATCCTTAATAAATAAGACATGGGTTATTGAAAACTGTTGGTTAATGTTTGAGTGAGCAAGCTGTTAATTAAAATGTGATTTCAAGCCTTGTGCAGCTGAACTTTTCCAGCCTAAACCACCACCTGTCAATTTGGGAGAACTTAAAGAATTAAACCAGCGTATCCTCTTAAAGTCATCTGTCACACCAATCCCAACCTCATGCCTCAAACATGCACACATTTCAGCCATCATCTCTCCATTATGGTTGTTGCCATCAGTACTGCCTGTTTTTGTAAAATATTATCTCAGAGAGTAGGTTTTGGTTATGCAACAAGAGCACTGTGTACCTCCGAGTTAGTCACTGTTTCACCAAATGATTGTATTAATATCTGTAAAAATGATTTGTGTAAATTAGTAGGCTTACTTTTAAGGTCTACTCCAAAAATTACAGAGTAGTTTGTTTTTTATATTAAGCAAATGATAGATTTTTTAAAAAGCTAGTTTTAATTTAAATAATAATGCTTCATTGATTGTCTCAAAATTACTAATACTTTATAACAATTTAGGTAAGCATTTATTAAATTTAGTGATTTATAATGATTTAGAATTAAATAATTGTAATAGCAAATTAGCATTTTTCTGGGCACTAAAGAAAAATTGAACAGACCAATATGTCCTTTTGGCATGTAATACATGTTTTAGGAGTCTTCTATCAGTATTGGTGATAAACTTACACAAGTGTGAAATAATAAAGTATATACTGGGAAGTGTATTATAACATTCAAAATAACAAAAGATTGCAAACAACCTGAATGTCTCTGTTATAGACAAATTTAATGAATTATGTGTCCCTATAAAGAGGAATACAGTACAGTGCAGCTGTTAAAAGAATGAGACAGTTCTGTTTGCAAAGTTATGGAATTAGCTCTAAGATTGCTCTAAAAAAAAGCAAGTCACCCAGGTGTATATAGTTTGCTCACATTTGTAAACATGGAATAAAACAATTTTCTTCTATCCTATCTAATAATAGAGAAACATGGTAATTAACCGTAACTTCGCTACCCTTCCCATTGGCTAATCAATGAGATATGCAAATTAACTGCCAACCAAGATGGTGGCTGGCAGCCAGGCAGCTGAAGCGAACAGGAGGCTTGCTTACTCCAGTGAAGGAGGAAGCCAAGGTTCCCCACCTGCCACTGCTGGCTAAGAAACAATGTTGCAAGTATAGAACCTAAACAATCCCCAGAAACCTGCTTTCAGCCGTCACAGCTGGAGCGAGCAGGACCGCAACAGTGTTACAATTATAGAATCCAAACAAACCCAGATCCCTGCTTTCAGCAGCCAAGGTCTCAGAGCTGCAGCTGGGCCTCAGAGCTAAAGCCAGCTCTCAGCTCCAGTGACAGCCATAGAAGGTAAATCCAGAATAAAAAACAAAGAGAGAGAGAGA